GCTGCTGGTACATGTAGATATCCTTCGCCGTGCGGATATACGCCTTCGGTAGAGTTTATTGCGCCGACAAGTTTTAGTTGACATGGGAATTCYTTDGTGTACGGTCTGTAGTTGTGAATGACATCAATTAAGTTTGTACACGTAATGTCTGCACCTGTGTCAATTTGTGCGCGAACAGTGGAGGAGATGTTCGAAGTGTATACGGTAGGCGGCGGTATAGGATGTGTCGTGGATGTAGTGGAGTGAACGTTGACAACGTTTAGTGAGGAAGAGGAAGTTGGTTCGTATGGAGTATCAGGTCCTTTCTCAGGTTTTGGTAAAAAAGCGTGATGCGGATACGTCGGGACTTTTGTTTTGGATGTATTAGTCGGGGATGAGGTATCGCATACAGTGTCAGAGGAGGGAAGGAGTGCATATGCATAATGCGTAGAGAATTTAGCATATGAAGGACAGGATTTGTTGACGGAACATGGGGAGGGCAAGGATCGTCCGATTTTATCGTCCGCCCTGGACAAAATCCATTTCAGCGTCATCGGTTGAGTGAGGTTTATCTGCAACATTTTCAACTATGAGTTGTGTGTCTTCAATCGGTGATGATGCCTGGACCTGATTAATCGAAGCATTTGCTTTGTTTAAAGTATTTTGTGCCCGTTTGTACATTTGGCAAAAGTTGATAAAATTTTGACGAAGTAAGTTCGATTGTTGAAGGATTGGACAATGTTCAAAGGTATGGTTTGATGTTTGTCCAGTCATCATGTTGCAAACGAGGCATTGTTTATTGAACGAAGCAGGATTGGCTTTAATTTTGTTAATCGACATAGAGTAGGCAAGGTCGAGGAAATTGTCGTCGACGTCGATGGTTTGTATTTGATTAATTGAAACTGTTTTCGTTGCAGGTGCAAAGGGCTTCTTCGAAGGCTGAACGTATGGGTTGAGTTTTCGGAGTTGGTTTCGTTGCGATGATTGTGCGACAGCCGGACTGTTTGGAAGATTCAAATATTGTTGAAGAGTGGCCAAGAAGTTTGAGGGCTTGAATTTGTGTTTGAGGTGTGTAAAGTCTTGTTCACGGCGAATTTCGGTTTGAAGGAAGGACGAGTAGTTACAACCGCTGACGAAATGTTCTCGTTCAGTTTTATCGTAGACTGTTTGCTTGTTATTTTTGACTAATGCACGGAGCATGATGTAGTGGTTGTATTTCTTCCAATATTCCATGAGGGACAGTGAACTTTGAGTAGGGCGCGTCGTAACTAGTGATGACGGAGATACCATTAGGAATGGATGTGTTGCACATATGATCGCTTTCAATGCTTCGTAGCCGTGTCCATCGTAGATTTCGACGATTTGTCGAAATTTATTATGTGAGGTACAAGCTATGTGAAGGACGTCCCAGATGATTCGAGAGTCGGTAGATATTAGCGTTTCKAATGTCGAATGAAGGTCATCATGATCGTCTTTCCCGATGGTGAAGCCTCGTGGGTGGTTGCAGTCGGGACGAAAGCATGGATATGGGTGGCAGTATTTACCATAGCGGGCGCAATGGGWSGTGAAAGCCGTGTACCAATTATAAAGTTCGTAAGATGTTTCGCCTGTCATTTTATTGACGTTGTTGCGAAAGTTCTTTTCACTTTGTGGTCCGAGGTCTGCAAGGACGAAGTATGAGCCATTTCTTGTGACAAAACCAGATGCCGAGTTTTGTTTATCGCGAGCGTAGTTTCGTAGGTTATGGGGAAGGCTTGCGATGTCGAGGAGTCTGGTAAGGGTGTCGCTGGTATGGAACATGTATGGGACTTTGTTGAAGTCGTATCGCTGTTTAATACCGGAGGAGAAGTTCATGGGGATGAAAGGGTTGATACCGCTTGCGGGCATCTTCGTCACTTTCTTAGGGGCAAGGTGCTTGATTGCGTCAGCTGTTTTATTCAAGATGTCGTTGTTTTGTTTGAAAAGTTCAACAAGGGCCGTTTCGGTAGGTGTCGTTCCAGTGGGAGGTGGCCGAGGTGGCGGGACTGCGTTCGGATCGGTAAGAGGAAAAGGGATTTCGCCGAAGAGCGCAAAGTTGAATACATTTTTGGTTGTCAGTCGATTGTCAATGTAGAAGGCCGACCAGTTGATGTAGAAAACGAGTACGTTTGGCTGTGCGGTTTTCGGTGCATGGTTTAAAGCGCGATCGAGGTTGCTTCCTAACACGTGGGCACGTTTGCCTTTGGCGATCTCGACAAGGAGTTGTGTCTTTTCTCTTATCAGCATTTCGATACGAGTTTTATCGGTCGTGTTATACGCGTTGTTTTCAATGTGTTCGATGATCTTTTGACGGACGTTTGGGACAAATTGGCCGACGTCGGCGAAGGCATCTTGGGTCTTGTTGAGGTAGTCGACGAAGTCGTCAGTGAATCCGTATGCTGTGTTCATTGGTTCGGTCAGTTCAGGATAACTGTCGTGTTTAAGGAAGACGGCATGAATGGAGTCAATGTCGGGGTGGAAGGTGCGCTTCGGGGTTTTGTTGCTTCGGGTTTTAGCACTCATGTTGATATTTGTCGATTGATGCGACGATGGAAGTATAAAATATATTTCTGATTCAGATCGAAGGAGATATATTTTATGATGARTTTTGCGAAGCGDGTCGAAGTGCAATGTTATCGTAAAAGTGCGGTGTTTGTGAGAAGCTTGAATTTTGTTCGGAATTGAGGTTTTACGGTAACGTGGGATGGACGCGGGACGTGGAGTGGTCGCGCGTAACGCGGGATGGTCGCGTTGTGGGAGTGAAGGATTTATGAGTGGTACGCGCGGATGCACGTGTGGGATTTATTTTATATCGTTGTGGGAATAAAAAATAGAAACGGGTTTGTCGTCGCCRAAAAAGTTTTGTTAATCGTAAAGAAAATTAGTGAAAAGATTTCGGAAATTTTAAGGTGCGAGAAAACGTCGTGAGCGGCGACAATGGCGATCGTTTCGAAATTAGTAATTTCGGGAACAATGGCGTTGACAAGGCGTGTGCCTTGTCGATGACGGTGTTAGTGACAATGCAAAAGCGTTGTCGAAGACGATGGCAGTGACAAATGCAAAAGCGTTGTCGAAAACGATGGCGGCGGTGAGCGCATGCGCCGTCGATGCGTTGAGCAAAGGTGTGTGTCGACGTTGCGTCGGTAGAGTTCGTATTAAGGAGAGAGCACGCCTAAAAAAATTATCACCATGGTGGTGATTAATTTTATTGGAAGGGTGTCATAACCTGTGKGAGAGACTGTCCTAATAGTGATGTAAAATGTRTGCTAGTAGAAAAGTGAGTCGATGCTCTTATCGAGGATCGACGAACTATGAAATCTAGAATGGATCGCTGTGGAGATCGAGTGAGATGCGAATCGAATGAGTCAAGTCACTCACGCAAGTGAATGAGATGAGTCACGTCGATAATATGAATCCTAGGGGATCGCGTGAGTCATATATGTATGGTGTGTATGAATCGTAGATACGTATCATATGTATGAGTCGTATGTATGAATCATACCCACGGTCTGATATCCTACGGACAACAACTACTACTAGTTTGTTACTACTAGTAGTACTATAAAAACCTCTCTGAAAATGTACAAGAATTCATAGTATTAAAATTTGCAAGAAGGGAGCAGCACCAACAAAACTAGTAGAAGAAACAAAACCCCCTGCTACTAAGAACACAGCAGGTCATATTGCTCACTACTACCATACTAACATCCTCACTAGTAAGTAGTAATAGTAGACGTTTTCCAGTAGTAAGCACTACTAGTAATAGTCATTCAAAAGTGGTAACCAATGAATTTACCTCTCCAGTAGTAAGGACCACTAATAGAAATATTTTGGGACAAAAGTTTTTGTGTGTGGAGGGGGGGGAGAGGGGAAATGGAGATGGGAGAATGAAAAAATCGAATTTTTTAGTCCCATATGATTCAGTCTTGCAACGCCGTTGTGTACTAGTAGAGTGTAGCGTTGCACCGTTGCAAAAATTTTAACCCTAGTGCAGCGTTGCAACGCTCAAAAAGCGTTGCGTTGCGGACCCCTAGCGGTGGTGACCGCCCGCCGCATCGCATCGTGTCGTGTCGTGTCTTGTCTTGTCGTTTTGTACTCGTACCAGTTGTAGGGCAGGGGTCTAGGGTACCGTACGTACGTATGGTACCAAACTAGGCCTCGGTGTTCCGATTCGTGCTCACGGGAGTTCCTGTTCCCCCAGCAGACGACGTCCCGAAGACGAAGAACGAATGCAGCACAATACGCGTACCGTACGTACCGCACACAACCCGAACACCTCTGTGGTCGCTGAACGCCCACGGAGCGCCGCAAAACGAAAAGCAGGGGCAAGACAGCCTAACCCGTAGCTTGTTCGGGGGCTCCCAACCACCAGCGAAACGAAATGAACCCGATCGATGCCTTCGCATCGGCGCTGAACCGATCCATCGATGCCGCCGTGGCGTATCTGAAGGAAAACGGCGTTGCGATCGCGATGCTCCTGGCCGGCGTCTATTTTTTCCGATCGCGATGTAAGACCACACCGAGAAGCCGCTTCCGAACGCACCTGCGTCCCGCCTGCGATAGATGGCTCACTTCTTCTTCTTGCCTTGCTGTTTTTCTCTGTGAACCCACCAACCCGCCCACGGTTCGATTCGATTCGATCCGATCCGATTTGATTTGATTTGATTTGATTTGATTTGATTTGATTTGATTCCGTCGGTCTACAGACGCCGGCGGCAAGGCGTCGAGGGGGCACGTGCTGTCGTCGCCGTCGGAGGCGGCGGGCATCCTTGAAAACTCCGGGAATGCCGACTCCCGCCGCGAGGACATGAGAAGGGCCCGGGAGCGCCAGCAGGAACTCGCCACCCAGCGCTCCAGGGAGGCGGCCGTCCTAAAAGCGGAAAAGGATGCCGAGGAACGGGACCGAAAGAACTCGGTGGCAAGGAACAACGCAACGCACGGTGGGAACCGGCTCGGCTCTGTCGGAGCCGTCCACGGTGGCGGTGGCGGCGGCGGTGAAGGTGGCAGTGGCAGTGGCAGTGGCAGTGGCAGTGGCAGTGGGGGAACCGGTCCCACGAGCAGAGGGCGCAATCCCCTGCAGCCGTGGAACTCCAACTCGTCGTCCTATAGGTCAGTACGAATCAAAACGAAACGAGACGAAGCGGGGGCAGAGGTCCAATCGGTCGGAAAGCGGATTGTGATTTGGTTGGAAAGGAAAGCAATGCATTGAGTTGGTTTGGATTGGATTGGTTTGGTTTCGATGTATATCAGTTTCGTCTCCGTGTGTCTTATTCGAAACGATTCTCTTTTGTGTCTCTTGCCCTTGTGTTCACAACCGCAGACCGGCGAGGCGGACTCCAAACGCCTGAGGCCCGCGAGGATGTTAATCCATAAAATCTTTTTCACAGATTTTTGGTTTGGCTTGACATCCTCCTGAAAAAAAAAACGTCAGAAAGGGGCGTCGCGGAGCACGTCGGGGATCCGGCAGCGGTTGCCGGTGTAGTGCCGTAGCGTCCTTTTTAGCAACCGAAACGAGGCCAAGAAGAAGATTGCGTGAGTGCCTGTCGTAGCTGTGAATGATGCGGTGGCTGGCCTACGAGCCCGCCGTTGCTGACAAACGAGAATATCCATCGTACAGCCACTCCCGTGCAGGCCCCGACCAATCCCTTTTTGCGGTAAAAACCTCTGTAACCATAATGATCATTCAATCGATAACGATTCGCGTTGACTGCGCAAAAGAGAGAATTCGTGTTTGTCTCGACGGTAGCTGCTCCGGTGGCTGTTCCTTTTCCATCTGGGAAACCCAACTCTTCCAAAACACTGTAGCGTAATCAATGGGATACAGTTCAGATTGGGCACGATGTGGGAGACCCGATTTTCGAAATAATCCGGTAGAACCGAGCAGTCTCTTTGCATAGATCTTCGTACCATTTTCCAGAAAGCGTTCTTCTGGTTTCGTAATTTCTTTAGACTTTTTCGAGAGCATGTCGCTAATTTTTTTCCGATGATGCCATGGCAAACGAAGAAAGGACCGGGTGGACGATTCGTCGCTACAACCTCAAAAAGTGGATTTTTCCTCCGACCCTGAAAGAGCTACAAAACTACTACCGTACGTATTACTGTACTTGAAGCGCAATGGCTTCGCGAATTTGATGTTCTCGAGTGCTCGAGGAAAGTAGCTGGTGGACGATTCGTCATTATTTTCATCACTTAGTAGAATACAACACAAAAAAGCTACGGATGATATTGCTACGTTTTGGTCTCTTCCTGAAAATTCTATTTTTTTTCGTCTTACTTGGGAGAGAGAAACTAGGCCCCTAAACTCTGCCACAATGAGAAGACGGCATTATTTTGCATGTCGTCTTCCAATCCGTCGAACGTCTCGAACGCCTCCGCGATATACTCTTTCAGAGGATCCTTTCCTTCGAATTTACGGATGACAACCGCTTCTTTCAGATTTTCCAACAGCTGCAAGTGGTCACTCCAGGCATTATCCATCGTCACCAAGATGATGTATCGAGCAGATCTCCCAATGGAGTTGGGTGCTTTGCCTGCCGCTATCGCTTGTTGGTCGAGGACTTCCGCCTTTTTCGTGAACACCTCGTCGGCTGCTATCGACAGAAACTCGATTGCTTGCGATTCCGACATGCCTTCGATGTCGCTGGCTTTCACAACCGAAGCAACAAGAGGGAAAAATTGACCAACCTTGTCTACGATCGCTCCAGCGTCGATCTTTCCCATGTTAGTCTGCCCCTTGACGATAGCAGTGATGACATTCGTATTGTATTTTCTCATCATCGCGGTGGATTCCTCGTCCGACATGTTCAGGATTTTTCGTCGACGGGCGTAAATTATGGACCTCTGCTTATTCAGAACGTCGTCGAACTTAAAAATTTCTCCACGAATCTCCTGGTATTTGATTTCGACCGCCTGTTGGACCTTGTCTAAGGCTTCGGAAACTTGTGGAGCTTCGACTGGCATGTCGTCACTCACACGGAAGGTCTTCAGAATATTTTGTAAACCATCACCACCAAAGATAACAAACATATCATCTTCGAAGGAGAGGAAGAATCTCGAAGTACCAGGATCTCCCTGTCGACCTGCTCGACCTCTCAATTGATTATCAATCCGACAACTTTCGTGACGGTTGGTTCCCATGACGTAGAGTCCCCCGGCTTCTTGAACCAGATCCCTATCGGCGTCTGTGATTTCCGAAAAGATTTCACGAATTACAGCCGCTGAGTTTCGAAGCTTCAGGATGTGTTCAGGATCATCTTCGGCCTCAGTGGTATCGATGGCAATTGTTAGTATTTCATTCAAGCCGAGACTTGTCATCTCACTACCAAATTGATTTCGAAGTGACGCTGCGGCATCTTTCATCATGTATTGAACATCATCATTTAATTCGCAAGGGTAGTAGTCCTCTGGAGGTGATGGTGGAAGAGCATCGGCTTCCTCGGTGGAAAGAACTCCGTTTTCGACAAGAACAGATCTGAGTTTGATTCGTGCCATGGTCTTTGGGCATCCTCCCAACAGAATATCAGTTCCTCTACCTGCAATATTTGTTGCTACTGTTACGGCACCGGTTCTTCCTGCCTGGGCAACGATCTCTGATTCACGAGGAGCATTGTTTGGTGACGCATTGAGAAGCTCTGCTTTGATTCCAGCTTCTGCAAGCTTGCTGACAATGAGTTCACTTTGGGCAACCGAAGTTGTGCCAACAAGACAAGGTCGTCCACCTTCTTGACCTCCTCCAACGTTCTTGATCTCCTTGACAAGAGCCTCGTCGGCAGCCTTGCGTGTCTTGAAGGCGACATCGGGGTAGTCACGACGAGCGATTGGAAGGGCGGTGGGAATAGGGACTACTTTCAGGTCGTAGGTCAATTCCAATTCGTCAGCATCAGACATGGCAGTTCCTGTCATTCCGGACAGACGGGTAAATTGACGGAAAAGCGACTTCAAGAATGCAAAAGGTAACGATCGTGAGAAATGACAAATTCGTATCGCATAAAAAATAGAATGAAACGGCACTCACCTGATAAGTAACCTTTGCAATGACCTGGGACTGCTCGCTTACGGGAATGCCTTCTTTTGTTTCGATGCTTTGGTGTAATCCATCAGACCAGCGACGACCGTCTAAAATTCTACCGGTAAATGAGTCAATGATACCAACTCCTACTTTATTGCCAGAGTCATCAGTTATCAGCGCGTAATCCACATCTTTTTCAAAAAGTTCTTTCGCATTGACGGCTTTTTCGACAAATGGCACCCACGCTTCTCCATCAGCTTGAATATCGAACAGACTATCGATACCCAAAGCGCGCTCGCTATCTCTGTAACCAACTTCGGTCAGGGTGCATGCTTTATTTTTCAGGTCCACAGTGTAGTGGACGTCTGGTTTCAGAGCCTCCGCTAATTGAAATGCAGTCTGGTATTTCGTGGCAGGGGATGCGACTTGCTTACTTATGATAAGTGGAGTTCTAGCTTCGTCAATCAATACTGAGTCGGCTTCGTCGACAACACAAAAACCATTGAATTCTCCGGCTCCCTTGGGGAGCACGGTTTGCTCAGGTGTCAGAGCCAAGTGATCCCTCAAATAATCAAAACCAAGCTCTGAGTTTGTTACATAGACAACATCATTTTCATAAGCAACACGACGCTCTTCCTCTTTCATTTCAGATTGAATTAATCCAACTGTTAAACCAAGGAATCGATGGACCTGCCCCATTATTTCCATGTCTCGTTTCGCTAGGTAATCGTTCACAGTGACAACGAAGGACGTTTCACCGGTCAAAGCATTAAGATAAACTGGGAGAGTGGATACAAGAGTTTTTCCTTCTCCTGTTGCCATTTCAGCCAGACGACCGTCATGAAGTACCAAACCACCCAAAATTTGAACGTCATAGTGACGAAGTTCTAGGACACGCCTGTCAAATAAAGATCGAAGAACGCAAACGACAAAACAAGGTGAGGAAAATTTTTGGGACCTCGTTTGAGCGAGATCAGTCCGCATCATTGGACAATGTATTTTGTAACGAATTCTTACCACGCTGCCTCACGAACGACGGCAAATGCTTCTTCAAGTAATGGTCCGTTGATGTCTTCCCCATTTTTCAAACGTTCCTTGAAGGATTCAGTTTTTGCCTGAAGCTCATCGTCACCCAGTTCCTCAATAGTTTCTTCCAGGCCGTTGATTCGAGTAACACGTTCTTGTAGTTTTGCTAGATACTTTTCGTTCCTCGACTTCCTAGTCTTTTCGTCCGTGCTTGCGACGAAGTCGTCGACAAGTCCCATCGAGAGGGGATGTCCAGGGGCCGAAGTCTTCTGTTGTCCAAACCAACCGATTTGAGTGTTAATTGTGTTGGGCGCTTTGGTCTGCTGCGGCAAGAACGCATGGCATTTACTGCAGCACAATACGAGGACCAGTGACACCAGGATCGAGTACAAGGTGCCTGTTGCTTTTGACATCATGGTTTGGTTCAGGACGACCGAAAAATTCAGATCGATAAACGGCTTATTCGCTGGGATGACAATGTGCAGTGGATTTTAAGTCTAACCAGTTCTGATACAATTTGTGACACTTTCAGTATTGCGATACTTCTTTTCTGGAAATCGAAGGTGGTCTCTATGAAGATACAGAGGAAGCCCATCAAATTACGAGAGTACTCGACAAGTACACATGCGAGAACCAAAACCTACCGGTAATTAAATTAAAATCTGATCAGGATTCATTTTCCCACGAAATCTGTGTCAATCTGCGAAGTTCAGTTTGCGTCAGTAAAACTGTGTTGTTCCGCTTTGACGTCTAGTGAGTCACGTTAGTTATGAACGTGGTAGATGACATCAGTGCGTTCTACGCTACGTACGTAACTTTGTACTGTACAGTATTGAACCCACTTTTTGAGTGAAGGAAAAATAATCTGGGGGATATCCATACTCGAACTGGTACTACGGTAGAACCACTTACAGAAAGAATGTCCGCTTTCGCAACTGTACGATGCATACCATCAGTACATACATTAACAACAAACAACAGATAACAAATACAACTGCACAAACAGTGGAAAATTCGAACAGCCGATTGTTTTATTTAAGATTGATTGATTCCGCAAGAGTGTTATCAAGCAGCTGCTTGCACTTGTGGTATTTAGATCCTTGTTTCCTTGTGCTACTAGTCATTGGTTCCTTTTCTCTCATGCTTTGTTGGTGCTGCTGGTGAATCTGAATAACAACTGAATATTTGTCAACAAATTCTTCTTGTTTCTTCTTTTTGAGGGTGTCAAAACATTTGGATAGTATGTCAGTGGGAAGACACAAGGTTTCAATTTAAAACTTGCTCATGTTGAATACAACAGATTGTTTGAGAACAAATAAAAACAGCTGTGATACTGCAGTAAAGAGAAGCAGATGGCAAGGACATCACAAGATTGTACAGAAGAAAGCGAATAACTAGTACTACTACACTTCAATGAGTCAATTTTTTAATTGTGAACAATTGCATGATTGATAATGGTAGTACAGCCAGTGGTGGGACTGGTGGCTGTTTCTTCCCACCAGCAGGGACAAAAGTGACACTGGCTTTCTGCAATGACCCAACACAACTCATGCAACTACTACTACATTTAGGTTAAATTGTTACTAAAACGGAGATATATGTGAGGTGCAATGGATGCAGAAAAAATCAGGGTGTATATTTGAACAAAAAGGTCGCAACAGGTTGCTACTGGTTGCATTCACTTTTTATGATGTTGTTGTTCTCCTCTTTGTCCTTCTTCTTCTTCTCACACTCACACTCATTTCCTTTGTCATCTTGGCAATCACTCTCTTGAAGCCAGTGGTACTACACATGCCATCTTCACCTGATGTAGAACTCAATGTATCATTTGCCAACCCCAGTTTTCAATATACTACTTGCATCCTCATTTTCCTTTCCCCGCCTTGCTGTTGCTTATTTGGAGACTTTTTTGCACCTGGAATGTGTTTGCTTCCCTATTGATGTCATTTTTGTGGGTAATGTAGACTACTAGTAACATTATGTGCTAGTGTTCTGACAGCAAAGCCTGTTGTCAACAGCAACCAATTGCATATACTACTGGATGGTCATCATTGCCTCCACCCTGCGTACGCTCCAAAGACTGCTATGCAACAAGTATGCAATGCTGTGCCATAATTTCCATTCCTTTCTTTTTGTATGACATACATAATACTTAGTGGATCCTGCATACAAGTGCCTCTCCTACTATTCATTTTGGGTTCATGAAGTAATGTAGGCCCTTCCTTGGTTTTTTAGAATACTTCAGCATCCCCATTGTCAGGTTTAGAGACTTTGTGCAGAATCCTTTCATGATGGTGAATGACAGTGGTTGGCATTGTGACATCCCTTCTCTTCATGCCAACAGCTTTGACAAAAAAACTGGTATGCTACTAGGCTATGATGATGATTGGTAGCATCTGACATGGTGATTGGTAACTGGGTATCCTTATTTCCAATGGCAGCACTCCTTTCTCAACTTGTTTGCATTGACAAAAAACCTCTGTGGGTTTCTCTTGCCTGTGTTGACAAAAAACTACTAGTGTGATTTTCTCTTGCCTGTATTGACAATACACCAGTGTGGGTTATGATGGTGATTGGTAATGAAGCATCCCTTCTTTGTTGCCCAGGTCCATATGGACCAAAAAAAGCACTCATCCATGATAGACAAAAATTCTCATTCATATGGACCAGAAAGCAGTTATGGAGACTGGTGGTAGAAAGATGTCCCTGTGGATTATTGTATAGTGTGGGCCACGCATTTCTGGACGCACCAATTGTACTACATGTTAAATTCAGATATCCAGCCTTGAATAGCGCTCAATAATCAATAAGACTTCCATATCCCCTGCATGACCACAATCCTCTCTTTATTAAGAACAAAATGGTGTGCTTATCTCTGTTTAAGGCAGGTTGGTGACAAAGTTACTAGAGGTCTAACTGTCTGTCCAAAACTGGAACAGTTATATGGCTAAATTATACTTTGCATCAATTTTTGGCTCTTTTTTAATCGTGTTATGACTAGTTGGACTCAACACAATGAGAAGGAAGAATCTCTCTATCTTCAACATTATGCATTGATCACATTTTTTTCCTCAAATTTATTGAGAACAATAGTACATCTTGGGAGGGAGGAGACCCCTGCTAAAAATAGAGGATAGCATTGAAAGAAGCAAGCATCAGCAAAAAAAGCAAACTGAGCAACTCAAAACACCAGACTTCCTTGTCAAAGATCTCCATAAGGACGTATATTGGTAAGCCAACATCTCCCCAGACTCTGTTCCCTCACAACACACAAGACCACTCTTTGATTATTCCCACCCAAACCAGAGAGCAAAATTGAACAGGAGGAAGGCAAAAACAAAGAAGGCAAGGCACCAAGTCAGGATCCTTGCTTATATGGGTCCTTTGCTTACAAGCACTAGATGCCAAAGTGCAAGCTTGCAATCATAAAGGGCAACATGGAGAGAAAATGGCACCCAGCAGCAAAGGCAAGGGAAGCAGCAGAGTTAATCAAGGGTACAGATCATGGGATTGGATGGAAGATGCAAATAGTCATGGATAGGTCTGCACCCTTCCCCACCACAGCTCCTGAGCCCTCTCCACCAGAAACAATTGATGATCCCTCACCACAGGTCCAATTTGTATAGAATCAAGACTGGAACTGGGTTCAGGAGTGGGAGTGGGAGTTGGAGTGGGATAACTATGCAACTGCATCAGCAACTGTATCAGCAGCAACCAAAAGAGCAACCATATCAGCAACCACCAAATACTATTTTGTTTGTTACACTGCTTCTATTGGTCCAACTCTGCCACTCACTGAGGTCAATTCAGGAGTACTATCTGCAGTTGCTATAGTGAGGTCACTATTTACAGTTGCGCCCATACTGCTTCTTGGTGAAACAACAACATTGCCATTAGCAGCACCATTGTCATCTTCATCTTCATCTTCATCCTCAATATCCAATAAGAATTTCATGTACTCAGAGTTATCTCTCAACTCCTCAATACTATGAGGGTTCCAGTTTCTCCTATCTTGTATTATCTTGTCATTCCTTACTCTAGTGCAGTAGTCACCTCTTCCCAACCCAAACCATTCATAATTGTGGAAGTTGCTGTGACAAAACTTGCAGATGGGTTCTCCATTGGAATCCCTCTTTTTTGACTGAAAGGTGCTGGTGCAGAGGGGGACCCCACACAGCTTGCAAATGCTGTAAGTATTGGCACCACGCATGTATCAAATTTTTTTGCTCCTTGACTTTGTAGACCCAGTTGCCTCAAGATGATCTTTGTACTCAGTTTGTGTTAAGCAAGATATTCCATTGGCCTAGTTCTCTGCAAGAATGGTCTACAGGTTATGATATGCAAGCAGCTTTCCATTCTTCTTAAGGAATGTGAAATAGTTTGTGTTTTTGGCAATGGTGTGGAAGATGAAATCAAACTTGTAAGCCACATTTTCTGGAGACCCAGCAAATATCCTTTCTGAATTGTTCATGTAAAGCTTCAGAAAGTTCCTTTTTTAATCTCAAGTCACCTGGTACAAGTCATGGTGTTTGCAATGTCCTAATTGAATGAATCAACCTTGGTATCCCATCTAAACTTGATGTGTTCACTCAATCCTTCATAGGCCCCATGCAAAAAAATGATGCCATCAAACTGAACTCGTCACAAAAACTATTCGCGACCCGTAGCGAACCCCCCATCGCAA